TTATTTTGTTTGTAAGTTATTTTGTCCTTACTATTAACTGTGTCTGATTGGGGATTAGGTTAGAGTTAAACTTTGTTATTGTTAATTGAGTATCTTTTTATTTTCATGTTTTTAGGGTTGGTTTCATTTTTGTGTTCTTTATCTTATAGATTCTTTGGGTGGACTATATGTTCGATATTTAAGGGTCATTTACCTTCTAAGTTCCTTTAGTGGTTTGTACTTTGAATATTACTTATTGTCTTCTGTTTTAGGTCAAATTTCATAGTTCAGCAGGTTTATTATTTTTGTATACTTTGTAGTCTTTACACGTTTCTACCTTTTTTCCTTAGTAATGAGTGCTTTCTTTCAGTATGTTTACCTTGTGTGTCTTTGGCTACACATCACAACAGTTCTGTGGATCATATGGGTTCTGTCTGTGAGTTTCTGCCTTCTATTTTGCACCCCTCTATCCACTTCCCAGATCTCCTTCCATCCTCCTCAGGATCGTACCTCGCCCAGTCTTCTTGTCAAGTCTGTTTGAGACCTACTACACAAAGGAGCTATCGAATGAGTGGTGCCCACTCAACTAGGATTTTACTCCCGTCTCTTTGTTGTCTCCAAAATGCATGGGAGATTGGAGTTCCATCATAGCTTATACCAAGGTTTATTCTTATCTGGAGACATCTCGCTTCACTATGGAGTCCTACCTTTCACTATGACGTTTTTTTCCCCCAGTGTCATACCATTTTTCTTTGGTTTGTCCATGAGGATTATGTCTTCCAGTTCTGGGCACTGCCGTTCAGTCTTTCTTCTTTGGACTCCCTATTACATGGATGACTGGCTTCTTCTCACCTCTTCCCATGCCCAGTCAGTCACTCACACCTGTTTACTTCTTCGTGAAGATGCTCAGGTGGGGTTTCTCATCAAGTTGGAGAAGTTCTTTACTACCCCCCTCACAGTATCTAATTCATTTGGGGGTTTTCACTTCCCAGCCTTCTCCACTTCAGGTCCAGGATATGTAGAGGGCAGTCACGAAGGCCCTACCTTCTCTCTCTTTTGGGGTTGTGGGCTTCCTTAGGTGCTCTCCTTCCCTTAAGTCGGGTGCACATGCATTCCTTTCATTGGATGCTTCTTGCCCAGTGGAACTTCCCCCATGATCCCTTTTACCATCCCATCTCCTTTCCACCTGGGATCAGGGCCAACCTTGCTTGGTGGCTTAACAGGTACTTGACCACAGTGGGGGTTCCCATTCCTCCACCTGGTACCGAGTCTCATCTGTTTACAGATGCTTCCTTGGTGGGCTTGGGGTCTTTCCTCAATTCCCCAGAGATTTTAGATTGGTAGTCTGTCGAGGAGGCTGGTCTCCATTTTCACATTGGAACATTTCACAGTTCCTCGGGTTTTGTATCATTTTTTCCCATTCTTGTCGGGGGTAGGTGGTTATAGTTCATTCTGACAATTTCACTGTTGTCAGCTATATTACGAAGCAAGGGGAAACCAAGTCCAGATCTCTGTGTTTTCAGACTTTGGATATCCTGTACTAGACTGCTGACCATGACATGACTGTTCTGGTATGTTATACTTCTGGAGTTATGAATCTTGTGGACAATCGCTTATCACATCCCAACCAGTTTCTCCACATGGAGTGGTCCCTTCATCCTCAGGTTTTTCTGTGGGTGTGTTCTCAACTGGGAACCCCACATATATATGTATTTCCCACTCACTGGAATGCAAGACTTCCTTCCTTTTTGGTCTCTTGTTCCACAACCCTCTGCTGTGGGGGTGGATGTTTTCAGTTCTGATTGGAGAGGGTCTTCACCTATATGCCTACCCTCTGATCAGACTCTTTGTCTGGGTCTTTTCCCTTATCCAAATCACTCCTTGTTGTTTTTTGCTGGTTGCTCCGTATTGGCTGGCTCAGACATGGTTTCCTCTGCTCTGGCCTTTAGTGGAGCTATAGCCCCTGCCCTTATCTTTGTCTTGATTGCTCCTTTGATAATTTTGACATTTTTCTTCCCAAGTCACCACACTCCAGCTTCACGTGTGACTTTCCTTGCCTGTACCATTCACTATTCCTCCTTGTCTATGTACCAGAGGCTTTGGTCTTACTTCAGACTTTCATCTATTGGCCATGGCTTCTTACCATCCTGTCCTTCTGTTCATCACCTTTCCCAGTTCTTCATCTGGTTGTTTGTTCATGGTTTGCCTCTTTCAACTGTTGCTCTTTTTAGAGCCACCCTATCAAACACCTTCCTTTCTCCCACTTCCAAAATGCCTTCTCTTCCCTGGTTATTTTGCTCCTTTTCCAGTCCTTTTTTGACTGGTCCATCCTCCATGTTCCTTTGTTCTGCTGGTTTGGGATCTTAATGTCCTTCATACCCTGTCCAGTTTTCCCTTTGAACCATTTGCATTCTGTACCTTGTACCATTTTTTCCTTAAAACCTATTTCCTCTCCCTCCTGGCATGTGGTTGTCATCATTTCCGATATTTATGCCATTAATGTTTCCATTCCTCGTTGGTTATCCACTATATGGATCAAACTTTCTTTCCAGAACATTAGATGCCTGGGAAGGTTGTTGTGCATCTCATCCTATTTCCTTACCTTCCTTTTCCCACCTGTTCTCCCATTTGGATTCAGATCATCTTCTTTGTCAAGTTTGTTACCTGCTATGTTAAATGGCTCATACTGTCTCCTTTCATGGGTTTTCTTTCCTGTCTCTTTGTTCCATGGAATTCCTCTGTTTCCTGTGATCTTTTCACTGGTTGGGTTCGTCAACTCATATTATTGACGTATTCTGACATGTCCATGGACGGTCTTCGTCTGCATCATGTTTCTTCACCCCAAATTTGTCATCTAACTATGTCTTTAAATTATCTCTAAATAACTTACACACATGATATGAAGCAAACAATTTTATGCAAGGTGCTTCCACTGGATGTTTTCTGCCCATATGGACTGCACTTGTCATACTACATCATATCACAAGGCACTTCCCCTGGATGTTTTCTGCCCATATGGACTGCACTTGTCATACTACATCATATCACAAGGCACTTCCCCTGGATGTTTTTTGCCTTGGCAGACCATACATGTTCAAGATATAAAACGATCAATCTTATGCATGGTGCTTCAACTGAATGATTTTGCCTGGATGAACCACACTTGACATTCTCCATAATTTCACAAGGTGTATCCCTTGGATGTTTTTTTCCCGGGCTGACCGCAATTGTTGATCACACAATCTGTTACGTACAATATAGGAAACGAAAAATACTATGCAAGGCCCTTCCACCGGATCTTTTCTGCCCAGATGGACTGCACTTAACATAATCTGACGTATCCAAAGGCACTTTCCCTGGATATTTTTGCCTGGGCAGGCCACACTTAGTCTATTCATATACATTTACAGTCCTTTAGCCCTAGGCACATATTCTTATATCTGATTCTGGACATCTTTTTCAAATCTGACTGTGATTGTAACTGTGCTCATGCTTGTTATGTATGTGGATGTCTTATGCCCATAGGCAGAATCTGTCTATTAAGTTCCACTCTGTGTGTCTTACTTTGTTCGTTACTGGGTGAAGAGCATACCTGTTCCAAAATTATAATTATAAAGTTATAATTGTGGCACACCTGTTCTTTCATGGTGGTGGTCCTTTGCTTGTTTGGTTACTTTTGTTCCTTCACCGGCCATTTGCAGTGGGGATTCTAGTTTTTGGTGAGAAGAGGTAGTACCATTTTGGAAGTTAACATTTTCTAACACTGAAAATGTATTTGTAATGGGTACTTACCTCCTCCTCCCACTTCCCTCCCCACTGATTTTCCTGTGTTTCTGGCTTGTATCTGCCAATTCTCAAATGTGAGGATTGTGCTGCAATGGTAGTATAGGTGACACAGTATGATTGGTGGAGGGTATTCACATGATCAGTGCATGTTGGTGCAATGACAGAAAACAAAATGAAGATGTATAAAAGAGTGATGCGCTGTTGAAAAATTTTAGCAATGACTAGTGGGCAAATCAAGGTTGAGATAACTTTGGGTGAGAGGGAGGTAAATACCTATCGGAAATACATTTGTGGTGTTAGAAAATGTTAACTTTCTTGGATTTATAAAAGTGTCACATTAACTTCTTAAACCTGAGTGGATGCTACCAGCATCTGGCCAAAAATCCCGATTTACCCATTGGACAGTGACAGCATCCAATAACATTTATGTCTCTTTGGCTGAAAACTAATCCAAACCAGATTATTATCATCCCCCCTTTTAGAAATAGACCAGAAATTTTATAAGGTATGATAATCATTATTAGAATATCATGAAAATAATTCCAACAGAACGAGCAAAAAATTATGGGTTTAAAGAGTTAATAGACATATTCTCAAATGTAATATTCTTAAAAATAGCAAGCACATGAAAGGAGTCTTTAACATGTAGAAACTGAAGAAAAAACCAAGCAATAATTTAAGGTTTTGACTCTTATGAAAGACCAACTCTGTGGAGGACTTGTAAACAAAAACCAGATAGGATGATAAATTGAGAGAGTATAAAAGTGTATTATTCATAGTTCTTCCCATTTTTCAGTATTAGTGGAAAATAGTTTTTTAATTGGCTGTTAGCTGAATTATTTTCAAACTTCATAGATTGTTAATATATGTTCTTTTTAAACAGCTTCATGAATTTGACCACAAAGTTCAAAGACATCATCATCTTGACTGAAACACAGATTACTGATCTTAACACTTATTTATATTCTTGTAAATGGAGTAAGAGTATGGATCTTAATTATGTTGACTAAAGAAATTAAGGTTTTTTTAAACTTTTCCTATTTTAATAAAAAGTTTCAATCATTGTTATCTGTAATATTCTGAGGCAATTTTAACTAGCTGTTTTTAAAGATCACATAAAAAAATACAGTTATTGTGGGAGTATAAAACACTTTTTCATACTGTGTTATATATATATATATATTATATGTATAAAATTCTTTTTATTAATTAGAAATCTTTTTTTTTATTGTTAGGACATAGTTCCATTGGAACTTGAATTACCAAATGAAGATCGTATAAAGTTGGAAATTAGGGTAGGTTTTGCCACACTAAACAGTGCTATGTCTAAAGCAAGTTATTTTTCCATTTTTCATATGGTTTTCTAAAATAGATCATGTTCATATTGTGTTATTTCATAAAAATTAATTATATAGATAGTGTAATATTTTCTGTGTTACCCATATGGTAGTAAATTGGATATTCTGCTTGTTAACTTTGATGCTTTCTGAAAGAAAAAAGTATTATGTGCAGTAAATGATAAAAATATAGTGAATATCATGATGCATTAGAGCTAGTCAAGAATACACACATTAAGATACTATATGAACAAATCTTTAATTTCAAACACTTTTACAAAACTTAGGCTTCATAATTTTTTCTTCTTTCTCTTATTTAAAATGCAAAACTTGTAATATGCCATCTGTGATAATTATGATCAAGCTGAGTCCTATTTGATTCTTCAATTCTTAGAAATATTCAGTTGTGATCAGTGAATTAATGTGGTTTAGAGATTAGAAGATAATAATCTGTAGAACTTTCATGATCATGTGGTTCATCTTCAGTGTGTTGAAATAAGAAATATATAGCAGTTGTTTTGTGTATTGAATTTATTCTGCTAAAAAGATAGGCTAAGGCTGAACTAGTTGTAAATTGACATGATTCTTATTTTGCAAAGAATTAGGTTGCATTCATTGCATATGGCTTACCCTATTATATGTGGATTTTTTTTTCTATCACTGTTGATTTAATTTGAAACTTGAGATTGGAAATACTTTTCCAGAATATAAAAAAAAAAATGGCTAGCAAAATAAAAAGCAAAATGTTGTACAGTTTCAATTTATTCTTTTAAAAAGTTACTCTGAATTGATACTGGTATTCTATTTCAAATGTTTACCATGAACCAATGAAAATGAAAGTTCCAAAATTCTTTTATTGAAGATTTATTGTGGTTTTAATATTAAACAACTGCTGGTTTTAACTTATTATTAGGATGCTGTTATTGGATGTCCCACAATTCACAAAGATAGTATTCAAGCTACAGATTTTAGGGTTTATCCAGTAGAGGTAAGATTTGTTTTGTATTGTAACTGATGGATTTATATTTCAATGAATTAATTGTGCTAAATTTTTAACTTTAAGCTTGAGACTTATCTTTTCATTAAGTTAAAATATTTATAAGAAGTGTTGATCCATATTTCATATAATTAATAAGATGGAATATTTTATTATATTACTTCTAAGTTTTGAATATTTACCAGACACTGCAAAAATTTATTTAGTATTCTATTTGTCTTTTATTTCCAAGTATTGTGAAAAATATCAATTATATTTTTAGTTTGAATAGATATAGTGATCTATTACATATTTTTAGTAATGTATGAAATTTTATAACTCCATTATTACAACCAGTGAATATGGAAAATGTTTACTCACAAACATAAGTAAATAGATAATCACAAAAATGGGTAAGAAAGAGATAATACAAAAAATATTTGGCCTTCTTTGTGTTAGGAGAACACCCTATTTCAATACTTTTTAAAATATATATATTGGCCAGAAATGTTCAGTTAGTTGGGCTTTAATTTACAAAAGTTTTAAAAGATAGTAACTTTTAATGTTTAAGTAACACATACATACACACACACACACACACACAGATATATCACTAAAATAATACAAGACTTTCCCCATGTAATAATGAAGTTGGAAAAGCTTAATAACTCATGCTAGAATTTCCTTTACTCATGCTGAACATAGTCCACTTCTGATGAAGGAAGATCTAACCTCCAAAGTGCTTGGTTTACCAGATTTTTGCAACTTTTATATAATATACTGGTCCTATTTACTTTTCTAGTATTTCTTGTGTTACATTAGACCATTTTGCTTACTATGAAAACTCATTTCTCCAATATAAAAAGTAAAAAATATTCTTTATCCAATATGAGTAGCTTTAAACCCAATTACCCAAATTCTGGATATAATTTTTAGCTTCAAAAAACCTGCAACTTGTGTTTAATGAATTAGTAAATATTTTTCTGTGATTTTTTTAAAGTGTCGTTCCCGGGGGACAACATATAAAGGTAAATTGCAATTGACAGTGGTGTGGAGTAAAAATGGGATTGTACAGGATACTATAGAGAAAATAGTTGGAGAAGTTCCTGTAATGGTCAAGGTAAGAGTAAATATAAGTGGTTTTCATCATTGTGTTGGATACTGTATTGTTGAAGATGTAACTGATTAAGTTTATGAAAATTTTTTTCAGTATATAGTTTTATGAACTGGAAAATATTGTACTGTTCATTGATATTATTTACATACTTTACTTAGGAATGTACTGTATCTGATTTTTAATTTAATTCTAAATTCAAGTGAAAACTACCTGCAGCTTAACTTGATGCACTGAAAACATGCTCTGAAGTTTGTACAACAACAGATGTCCTGACACTCAATGGAAATAAAATCAAAAATATCTTTAATTTTACAATAAATACAGTTACAAAAGAAAAAAAAATCACACAAAAAGCAGATTTTAATGTAAAAGTACCGTTTATCATTGAGGCACAAGAAGATTACATAATAAGTGTCTTTTACAATAATGAGAAGGTAATCAGTGACCAAAAGACATATACCTTTACTTTCAGAATTTAATTTGTTTTACTCTTTCTTGTTGAAGTAAATACTTTATTTTGTATTGTCAACCTTTTAGTATAGATTCACAGATTAATGTGAATTCTTTTTATGCTGATGTGAGCACAAATATCATCGATAGTTACCAACAATATACAACATTTTTACCTGTTGAGATTATGATAGCCATCATATATTGTGAAAGGTGCTGCTTATGTTGACAAATACAGTAAGATGAAGAGTAATGTAACATCGTCCAGTATGTTGTGGGGTCCATATTGCCACCTGGACCCTCTTCTTCCATACCTGCCATACAACTCCATTCAGATTTTGAAGCTGAAGTTGAGGAGTATGAAATGGAGCAACTTTTTACATCCAATATTCTCTACCTACTGAATATCCCTTTTCTAGCCTTACATATGCCTTTTACCCATTGTTTCCTTTCTTCTCCCCTGTTAGTGCCACGCCTGGCCTTTACTTTCAGGTTTCAATTCATTCCTGCTGTTTTATGCTTCACCCTTCCTGCTTTACAAGTTATTGTTCAGATATTGTTTATTCTCCAGTAACACATCACTCCTATGACTTATTGTTTAGACATTGTTTATTACTCCTTAACATGTTCACATATGATATATCACTTAGAATTAGTTCATTACTCCTTAACTACTCAGACTATAATGTTTAATCATAGTTACTGACTCCTTAACATTACCACTTAATATATTATGTTTAGTCATAGTTCATCTCTTTCACACGTCTGCATAGATGCTGATGGTTGTTCATATTCACTTATTCCTTACCATGTAAACATAGATATGCATCTTTAGTTACAGTTAGTTGCTCTTCCACCTGTTCTTTACTTCCTCATATGATTAATCCTTAATGATTATTTTTTTGTCATAATTTTACTGCATATTGTGTAACCATTGATGGTAATGTTTAGTTCTTGACCTTCACTCCTTGATAAGTCAGACATAGACAATACTATTTTATTATGGTTCATTACTTCTTTGCATATACACACATTCAAAGTCATGTTTCATCCTAGTTCTTTATTCCTTCAAATATCCACATAGACTATAATGTTAAATCTAGTTTATTACTACTTCATGTACCATTAGAAGATACAGTTTAGACCTAATCACTTGTTCCATACAATGTCACCCAATGTCAATGTTTATATGTGGCTACTTACTCTGTCAGATGTACTCATAGTAGATAATATGTAATCTTCTTTACTTACTCCTTTACATATAAGTATAGAAAATAGTGTTCAGATTTGGCTTATACCATTCAAATGTGTTCATAACCTTTCATGTTCTAGAGATTCTTTTTGGCTGTTTTCTTGACATGAACATGTCCTACCCACAGATTGGTTCCTTACCCACTGGTCTTCCATTATTTTGCTTTTTTTTATTGTACCTTCTCCCTTAGTTGTTGTGTTACACCTCTTTTTGCTCCTCTTTTCTGGTCTCCTGTGCCTGAGTACTCAGCCCTGGCTGTCTGTCTGGTCTGTCCAATGTTTTTCCTATGCATGACCTTCTCTCCATCTCTCTTAGATCGTTGCTTAGTTTCAGGACACTTTTTAAAGGGTCCCTTTGGTGGTCCCTCACAGTCTATCCCAACCCTGCTCGAGTCTCAGCTTTATCTTTCCCTTCCTAACTTCCCATCCCTTCTGATCCACCCTTACACATTGCTCTTTTCTCGGGATATGACATCTTTTTATTATTACATGTGGGATTGTTCAATCCACCTCCATGATCATGTAGCTGTCCCTTTTTCCCTTTCCTGTCCCCTTATACCTCTTCTGTGTGCTGGCAAATGGAACATGCTTGTCACCTTGGTCTTGTTGTCACCATTTCCCTTTGACTTCATTACACTGTAACATATTCCTCCTATTTCATGGGATGGTTCTCCCATGATCTGTAAGTCTCTTCTATCTTAAGTTTTAGGGTGGCATTTCATCTATCTTATGCCTTTCCTGATGTCACAGTTTCCCTTCTTCTCTGCTTCTTTTTTTTCCCCTCCTTATACACTGCCTCCCTCCTACTTTTTGTCTGATTGAATTATCATTGGGGTTCTCCTTGCTCTTACCTGGGTCCCTATCTAACCTCTAGCAGGTGTTTCTGCTCTCTCTGGACTCATGAGCCCTATTCCTACTTACCATTGATAACTGTTACACACATCTATGCCCTTGTTTCCTCCCACTTTCTCATTACCACTCTTCCCTTCTCCTTTGTCCTAACTGATCTTTTCTTCCCTTATATCCATGGCAGGGGCAAGTTGTCACTCCTTTTCTCCCATATCCCTTCTTTCAGTTTCTCTTTTTGGTGCTGTTTCTGTTCCAGACAGATGCTCTTGTCCTGTATATGCAGCTCAATGTTTTTTCACACTCTTCCTTTTTGTGGTTCCTCTTTCTGCCCTTTCATATTGGGACACCTCCTCTACCCAACCAGGGTTTCTCTCTTTACCCTATTATGGATTGGATCCACCAGCTCATATGTCTTGTATATGCCTTTCTGATGGCAGATGTTTATATGATCTCTCCAGTTTCCTCTCTTCAGCTTTTCCTCATTTTTTTCTGGGCTGGTGTGTGGACTACCACACAGTCATTTGTCTCAGATTTAACTATCTCCACTGTCTGGCTGTCTTATCTCCAGTAGTGTACAGATTTCCACCAATGGCCAGTCTTCAATTAACCTTGCACCTGTAACGGGTGTGAGTATACATTTACTTGTTGCTTTTTCATTGTTCTCCTATTTTTAGATCCCAATAGGCAGCTAATGCTGTCTCACAGGATATATTTACCCAAAATTCCACATCGGGTCAGGATAACAGAAAGCACCTAGACCATCTGCCCTGGCCCAATCAGTGCTCACTGTGAGATGGGATGTTCTGCAAGACCACTGGAGTTTTACTCATGGTAGTTATATACAACTTTTTCCAGTCTGATCCAAACTCTACCCATTCTATGGACTATTATGGAAAAAGCCAGCACCAGAGTTGTGCTTCTACCTGCTTCTCTGACTAGTGCTTGCTGGCTTTTAAAGATAAGATTTTGAGGTTACCTAAAATACTTTATTGAACTGAAGTACTGATGGGGATCTGGGCACATTCTCCGAGTCTCTCCTACATGACCCCCCCCTCTTTTGAATGAAGCATGGGAGATCCTTGCCATTTACCAGCTCCCAGCTTCTGGAGAATCCTCACTGATTTGGGACCTGAAGGTGAATGCTTAAACACATAGTCCTTTTATGCTGAGAAGTGAAGCAGGGGTGTTTTCAGAGTGTAGTATGGACCACCCCAACTTGTCTAGATACATCACAGTCTCTGAGTGAATTTCAGACACATATCTCACTTACTCTCTATTCACCTTTACCTTCTCCTACAAAGTAGGATGGGCTTTGTATAGTCTGTTGGTTGAGTGGTAGTTTCATAAATATCCTCAAATTATGTCCACTATGATTCCCTCTTCATGTGATTGGTATTGGCCCTTACTGTTGTCTGATGGTCAAGGAGGTGAGCACACTTGGTACCAGGAATGTCGAGAGCCAGCAAACATCCTTGCCGGGCCCCCTTTCTCTGTCTCTTTTTTTTAACATTTTCAAGAATTTATTAAAAAGAAGATCCTAAATTAGGACAGCAGCGAGCTCATAAGCCAGACAAAATCATAGCAGCAGCCATTTTTACCTCACAGTATAAGTGTAAAAATTTTAATAAAGAAAGTAACAACAAATATCTATTCAATCTATAAAGTAAAAAATACATATTAATTATTACTCAAATTATTATTTCAGTTGTTCTTAATGTATCAAGCATCTATATGCAAAGAAAAGCCAAAAACTATGGTTTTTATCATTAAATGAAGATATAGCCTAAAGATGTTTTGCGAGCTTTACCAGGTTTCATTCGCCCAGCCTCTGGCCAGTTGAATGTGCCCTAACCTTACTTGTGTGCAAGCTCTCAGATGGTCAAGTACCTTTTCTGCCTGTCCTTGCAACACCTTTCAGGCTTCTTGCCTCTCCTTATCCTTCACCCAGGATAAGCGTATACTGATTGAGATGAGATGCGATCTCCCACAGGTGTGCCCCTGTGGTTTTCCTTTTAGTGCTCTTGAAAAGAAGCTAATCTGTATAATTTCTGCACTGGTCCCTCCAACATCTCAATGTAGGATTCTGGCTAATCTGTACATAGAAGTGAGTCATTGTATCAGAAGTTAACATTTTTCTTACCTGAAAATGTATTTCTGATAGATACTCACTTTCATGCACATTCTCACCTTTCCTCTCTACTTTCCTGGTGCATGTTTATTGTTTGTCTGACGAAAGAATGAGGATTTTTATGCATAAATGTACAGGGAGCATTTGTGCAGGGAGGTTTGATTGGTGGAGGATGTTGCTGCATGATATGTCATCACACGGGAGTGCAAATTTATGTGTTTTCATGTGAATTTTAGGTGGGAATTTCACAAGGCTGGTGGCATGCAAGTCTCTTAGGTAGAATAGCATGACTTCAAGAGGTAAATAGCTAACGTATAAAAATCAA